GACAAGCTTGACTTTGCTAACCCTGGCATGAAAGAATGGAGATTGCAGAGGCCTGATTTATCTGAGAGGGAGCTGCTACAGTAGGACCCCCTTATCCATGGGATCCATATCCGCTGATTCACTTATCCATGGTTTGAAAATATTAAAAGAAAAAATCCCCCAAATACACATACAGTACTGTATTTCTAACAATGAATTTCCCAGAACTGGCCATGAGAGAGAGCCAGAGACCATGTACTGTATAGTGTTCACTATAATCCACATTTTTCAGCATCCGTGGGGGAGCTTGAAACAAATAGCCTGTGTATATGGGGTTCCTACTGTAGATAAACAGCAAGAGTGCAGTATCACGTCGCCCACGTTTTATCCCTTCTGAAGGACACTCCTGTGAAATAAAAAACTCATGAATGTACAACTTTTCTGCCTAATTTTCCCCGTCCCTAACAGCGTGTAAATATTCATGTTTCTGCTTACTTTGCACACTCTCTCGCCACTTTTGCCATAAAAACCTTTTTTTAACCCTTTTAGGATTTTGGCATTTGAAAAGCAAAGTCCAATAAATGTTTCCTTCATTCTCAAAACGGGCCTCGTGAGAATGTGTGTGCTTTTCTCCATCGTTCAAGTCCCAAGTGAATATAAATGAGGGGAGGCAGAGATGATTTCTAGATGCGCCGCATGAGGAAAGGAACTGCTACAAGGCTTGATCTTTGTAAGAAAATCAATCGGCTTCATTTTGGAAACCGCATGTTTCTTCCATTTCTTCAGAGAGGCAATGATGATTCTCTCTCCCGGTCGGCCGTTGGCCGATTCTGATACATTGCTAGATGAACTGCCCTCCAATACAAATGAGTCTTATCAAAAACATATGTAATCCATTTTTTAAAAAAGGGGGTTCGTTGGCATCTTATTTCTGGGGTCACGAAACTGGACCGAAGCACCCACACAATCTTTTCTTTGAGGTTCTCCTCCTCTTGTTTGTTTCTCTTATCTTCTTGTTATGGCCTTTGCCCATAATTATATTTTTGCATTGCCCATAATTGTATTTTTGCATCCAGGGAACCTGGCGCGTGTCTGAACTCTAAACTAGCAGAGAGACTCCTGGGAGTCGGTGTGTGGAAAAAGTGTGAGAGAAAAGGAGAGCAATGCTCACAGACCCCTTCCTCCTCCTTCTCCCTGCACAAATCAATATTATGCCACCCAGGCTATAACAAATAGAAGAATAAATTGGCCTTTCTCGTTATTTTGCTTTCTGTTAAAAATTAGCGTTTTTCTGCAGTTAAGAAAAAAAAAAGTAATGGAAAATACAAAGGATAATATTGTAAACTCTGGGAAATTCCAGAAATTACATTAAAATAACGCCTTAAAAATATAAAAAGGATCCCTCAATAAACAACCACCATTCCTCGAGCGCCGACTAACGGCCGTCTGAGGGGAGCCGCAACGGCGGCGAGCTTTTATACGCCCACCCACAATGCACCTCTCTCAGTCGAACGGCGCTTTGAGCCCGCCATCCCCACTCCTCGTGATTTGATTGGCGGAAGCCGAGGGCGCTAGCAAAGGAGGGGGAAAGGAGGAGTGCGTTTTCCAACTCGGTGAGTGGCGAGCTCTCTCAACCAATCGCAAAGCGCCGCCGCCTCCCCTCCTCGCCAACCATTGGTCCTCTTCTCTACCTGGCGCCCTGCGGTGGGTTGGACTCGGAAGAGGGGATCGTTCTGATTGGCTGAGGGGTTGCCAGAAGGCGGTTGGGCGGCGAGGCGTTGTAGTAGCTGAAGATCGCCTCCCCCCCCAGGCCTCACCTGCTGAGCTCCACGATTGGCTCGTAGGGTCCGCTCGCCCACGCCCATTGGCCGCCCCGCCCCGCGTGTGTGCCCCCCGATTGGCTGGGGCGGCCCGGCCCGGTATCCGGGTAAGATGGCCGCCGTCGGAGACTGCTCGCGGGCCGTGCTGTGGAAGTCGGTCTCCCTCACGCACGTCGAGTACCCAGCAGGTAAAACCGCCGCCCGGGCCTCCCCTTTTGGGCCGGCCGCTCCCTTTCCGGAGCCGGGCGTGGGCTCCAAGGAAGGTCCGGAGGGAGTTCGGGTGGGAGCCGCGCTGCTAAATAGTGAACCATAGAGGCGAGGCGCTGGGTAGCTGGCCGCCGCGCATGCGCGCTGGGCGCTCTGCCGGGCTGCCAGATACTGAGCCGCGCTGCTGCGGGAACGCGCATGCGCGGAACCCCTTGGGCTTAGAATTTCCAGGGGCGTTTTTCTCTGCCTATTTCCTGGCGCTGCAGTTTTTGGGACCCCTTTGCATGCCATCCTATTTTAGTCTCCACCTCCTGGCCTTTCCTCCCTTTCCCCTCAATTTGCAAGCATTAGCTGCCTTGGAGAGCTTGCTGCATTTTTAATTTTTTTTTGCACAATTCCCATCATCCCCACAATTCTAGCTGGAGGCTTCTGGGTGTTGTAGTCCCCCGGAAAAGGAACATTTTGGGAGATCTTTGCACCCCCCCTCCCTTGGGAATTGCTTACATGGAGGCGATGTCCATCCCGATGGGGGTACCTAGATTTAAAAAATGCCTTATTTGGGCCACCTAAGGAGTGGTCAGGATTCCTGGGGTGGTGCAATGGTTGCAGTGATGGATTGGGATCCTGGGGGCCCGGGTTCGAATCCCCGCTCAGCCCTTGAAAATGAGGAGTGGAACTGGTAAAGTTACTCCTTAAATATCTCCTTTACTTTGAAAGCCTTCTTAGGTAAATTGGTTCTGAATTGACAGCACAAAACGCATGGAATTATTCTTGAGACCCGTGTGTGTGTGTGTGTGTGTGGATAGTGGATAGAGTGATGGATGAACTCTGGAGAACAGGGTTTGAATCTCCACTCGGCCATGGAAACTCGCTCAAGCCAGAACTGGCAACCTATACTTTCTACATTAAAAAACACAACGGGTGCTTGAAGGATAGGAAGCAGGCTATGGGTCTGATTTGTTCAGACTGCGCTCATGGCGGTGTCATGGACAGAGTGACGGACTAGAACTCTGGAGAACAGGTTTCAAATCCTTCCTCAACCATGGAGACTCACTTGGGGGAATGGAAGTGGTCAAATCGCTCCTTAAACGTCTGGAAAGCACCGGCAGGTTTGCTAGTAATCAGTTCCGACTTGACAGCAGAGAACACGCGCATGCACACACACCCCAGTGTGGTGCAGAGGATGGAGTGACAGACTAGGACTTTGCAGGCCTGGGTTCGAATCCCCATTTGGCCATCGGAACTCACTGGGGCTGTGGTGAAAAGAGCCGAGCCACTCCTTAAAAATCGCACTTGGGTTGAAAGCCCTTTTACTTTCACTAGAGGTTGCTTCCAGCTTGATGGCACAGAAAACACCGTCATGAGCTGTGTGGAGCCATCCGGCTGGTGTCCAATTGCAACTTCCCCCATCCTTAAAGAAGACTCTTCAGTGAAGGGGGGGGGAGTCCAACATTGATGGTTAAGGATAGGGAGCATAAACCCTTTGGAGGCTTTGCATTTCTCATCCTTGATCCAGGCAGATTGCATGGCTCCAGGATCTCGGCCGATATGCCTCCGAAAGGCACGTGCTTTAATAAGCCTGGGGCTGCCTCTCTGCCATGTGCGTGAGCTCCCCGGGTGTTCGGTCTCGTAGAAGCTGGCCTCCCCCCCCCCCCCNCGCTTCGTGCCTTTGTCGGCTATGACAGTTAGAGCCTCACTTCAGACATGTGGCATCTAAGCAATTTAAACTGTTCAACTTGTTTGAAAGGGTTTTAAGCTGTCCTGTGGATTCTTCCTCACCCGGAGGCTCCATATAGAGAGTAAAGGAGAAGCGCTAAAACAGCTTAGTAAATCAGATCTCATTGTGATAGATCCTAACGATGAAGCGATGGGAGACTTTTGGGGAGCCTTAAGGTGGTGCGATTAAGGGCCAGGCTGATCCTTTGTAAACGAACCTCCCAGTTTGGCTCGCGTATGCCTGTTCTGTACGTGGGTCATGAAACTTTAAAACAGGGCAGGGCTCGGTTCTGTTGTTCATTCCGAATGCCAGCGCCCGGCTCTTGCATGACTGAAAGTGGAAAGTGTATAATGCATTTTGCTGAGGAAGCCACTTGGAGAGAAGTGGAAAGGCCGTTATAACAGGGTGGGGGATTTCTAAGCAAGCCCATGCTTTGGTATCACGTTTCCTTTCTTGTTCCCCCTCTCCAGCCACTAAGCACATTGGGAGTTAGACGCACTGTGGCTATAAAAAAAGACAGCACATATATTATTTATTCCTTTCTGGTATATAGCACCCTAGTCTTGCGTTTCCTGCATCAAGTGGGGGATGGCTTTACGCCTGCAAGTTGGCTGTATTTTGGAAAACGTGTCTGTGTGCATTCATTTGTCTCTAACATCAGTTCTTCTCGTGATTTTTGGCATGGGGTGGGGCAGGGCTAGAAGCAGAAGAGGATTGTATTGCTTTCAGGGTGGCTGCAAGCACTTTTATTTTTTTGCTTCTCCTTTTCCTGCATTAACTAATGGCAGCGTTGAATCATTTAAAAGGACGAGCAGTGGAAAAGACTCTGCAAAACCACACCCTGCGCACTTTGGAAAGCATAGATCGCTGCTAGAGGGCACAGAGCGCGCGTGGAAAGTCTCCCAAGTTCAGCCCCGCCATCTCCCGCTGGGGCAAAGCCAGGCACCTCTCTGAAATCTTGGAGAATATCCCTATCGGCCTGGGGAGGCAAAGTCTGTATATGGACGTGGCTGTAAACTTTACAGTCCTGCAGGGGGGGGGGGGTGCGGAGAAGTTTAGCTTGAGAAGTGGGCCCGCACCCGGGTGGAACATATAACATCCGTCCCTCTGAAAAAAAAATCCTAAAAAATTTGAAGGGTCTTTAGTGAGCAATGTAGGCGCTCTTTCTTTTCAACTGGCACTTACAGTCTCAGTAATTCTGAGACATTGGTAAGAGAAAGGATAAAAAGATTTCACCTGCTCACCGTTGAATCGCTCAAAAACAGCATACCGCACCAACGTATGGCTGGTTTGCCGCAACGGGCTTGCAGCCTGCTTCCAACAGACCCCCGCAGAGCACAGATCCACACTGCTGACTAAAAGAGAGGGGGAAAGACCCTTAAACAGAGAGGCGGGGCTCTCTTTGAAATCAGGGGCAGGGGACCAACCAGTTTGGTCCTTGCTGGATTGACGGGCAGTTAGCCCAGTCCAGAAAGGTCTCTCTCGGACAATCCTACTGAAGGCAGCATGCAAGGTTGAAATCATTCCAGCTTGGTTTCATCCCAGAACCATTTCAGATGGACAAAAAAAAAAAAAAGAGAGAGAGAGAGAGAGGTGCATTCATTTGTCTCTAACATCAGGTCTTCTCGTGATTTTTGGCATGGGGTGGGGCAGAGCTAGAAGCTGAAGAGGACTGTATTGCTTTCAGGGTGGCTGCAGGACCACCCCTTTTTTTTTGCTTCTGCATTTCCTGCGTTAACTAATGGCAGCATTGAATCATTTAAAAGGACGAGCAGTGGAAAAGACTCTGCAAAACCACACCCTGCGCACTTTGGAAAGCGTAGATCGCTGCTAGAGGGCACAGAGCGCGCGTGGAAAGTCTCCCAAGTTCAGCCCTGCCATCTCCAGCTGGGGCAAAGCCAGGCACCTCTCTGAAATCTTGGGGAATATCCCTATTGGCCTGGGGAGGGGAGGCAAAGTCTGTATATGGACGCGGCTGTATACTTTACAGTCCTGCAGAAGGGGGGAACCAACAGTTTGGTCCTTGCTGGATTGATGGACAGTTAGCCCAGCCTAGAAAGGTCTGTCTCAGCCAAACCTACTGAAGGCAGCGTGCGAGGTTGAAATCATTCCAGCTTGGTTTCATCCCAGAACCATTTCAGATGGACCAAAAAGAAAAAGAAAGAGTAGATCATCTTTGTCATTCAGCTGCTTAAAAACATAATACTGTACATAAAGTAAGCAAACGAATGTATAATGATTACAGATGTTTAGAAATGCAGATATTCCCGCACCACTATCCTCAGGGACTATAAAAAGACATAATTTGGGTTTTTTTTTTCTTTCATTCTCTGGACCCGACTCTTGTTTAAAGGGTGACAGATGCTCTTCGCCATCAAAACTTTACCTGCAGCTCCGACCTGGGGAGATTAGAGCCAATTATGAAGTCAGGCAGCCAGAAAAGCGTCATGATTAATAAATAGGAGGGAAGAAGTGGCGGCTCGGGGTCAGGAAGACGGGAAGGAGCCCATCTGTGCAACAAGAGTTGGCTTTTTGTTGTGTTTTAAAAAAAAAATCCTGGCTTCGGCTCGTCGTCCTGATGTCCTCCCGAAAGGCTCTCCTGGTTTAACGATGAAGCCGTGAGAGTGGTCCATGAATAATAAGAATTAAATTCGACTTTTGAATTTGCAGGCCCCTTCCCTCCGAATACATACCAGGTACTCAGGATAAATAGCAGGGACCGAGCGTTGTCCAGAAGCTTACAAGGTGTGGCTTCAGTGTTGGTGTTTTGCGACCAGGCATTGTGTTTCATTAAGATTTAGAAATATTCACTGAAGCTGTGTCCACACAGTCTTATAATAATAATAATAATGGTGTGCAATCGAGCTGTGGGTCCATCTGCGCCGCCTTCCTTGGGCAGAAAAAAGTGTGTGTTTGGACAAAGATCCTCTTTTGTTGTTTCCTCGGCCTGTAGGGATCCTTCTGGTGGGAGGCTGCCCTTTATTTATTTGTTTAAAATATTTTTTTTACCCCACCTTTCTCTTTAAAAGGACCGAAGGCGGCTTCCAATTAAAGGTCTTCGCCTGTTTTGCGGAAAGACAGCTACTTCCAGGGACTGTAAAAAGACATAATTTGGGTGGTTTCTTTTCTTTTCTTTCATTCTCTGGACCCGACTCTTGTTTAAAGGGTGACAGATGCTCTTCGCCATCAAAACTTTACCTGCAGCTCTAACCTGGGGAGATCAGAGCCAATTACGAAGTCAGGCAGCCAGAAAAGTGTCATGATTAATAAATAGGAGGGAAGAAGTGGCTGCTCGGGGTCAGGAAGACAGGAAGGAGCCCATCTGTGCAACAAAAGTTGGCTTTTGTTGTGTTAAAAAAAAATCTGCCTTCGGCTCCTCGTCCTGATGTCCTCCCGAAAGACTCTCCTGGTTTAACGATGAAGCCGTGAGAGTGGTCCACAAATAATAAGAATTAAATCCGACTTTTGAATTTGCAGATCCCTTCCCTCCGAATACATACCGGGTACTCAGGATAAATAACAGGGACCGAGCGTTGTCCAGAAGTTTACAAGGTGTGGCTTCAGTGTTGGTGTTTTGCGGCCAGACATTGTGTTTCATTAAGATTTAGAAATGCAGTGGTGCCTCGCTTAACGGGAACCCCGTTTAACGACGAATCCGCATAGTGATGAACTTTTTGTGATCGCATTGTAATGTTTTAAATGGTAAAAAATTGCTTTGCGATGATCGGTACGCTGTTTCGCATACCAATCATCGCATAGCGATGATTTCCCAAAAGCTGATCGGCGGTTCCAAAATGGCCGCTGGGTAAAAAAAAATGGCAGCCCGCTGTGTTTTTGCCCGGATTCCTCGCTCACCGGGCAGCGAAAATGGCTGCCGTATGGAGGATTTTCGCTTAAAGGTGAGTTTTTTGCCCATAGGAATGCATTAAATGGGTTTTAATGCGTTCCTATGGGCTTTTTATTTTCGCATAGCGATGAAATCGCTTTGCAGCGATTTTTGCTGCAGGGATTATTGTCACTATGCAGGGCACCACTGTATTTACTGAAGCTGTGTCCACACAGTCTAATAATAATAATAATA